GTGTGATATTTGTTTTGTTAGAAGAATGAGAAAAAAATATTTATCTTAGGTATGGTTAAAAAATCAGAAAAAGAAGTTTCAACAAAGGAGCAAAATCTCTACCAAAAACTCCAACTCATCCAAAGTGAAATTAAAGAACTCATTCGCACGGAGGAAAATAAATTTCAAAAATATAAATTTTTCAACGAATTGCAAGTGCTTAAATTATTGAGACCGTTGCTTGAAAAATATAAGTTGACCCTGCTATTAAGCGATGACACCAGCCAACCTCTCATCCACGAAAAAGAGGGCAAGGAACATTTTATCAAATATCTGAAAAAATTAGAAATAGTGGATGCCGAGAACCCAGATCAACGTTTATTGTTTAATTTTTGGGCGGTGGGTAGCAATGTCGATCTAGCCAAAGCCAAAGGTTCTAGTGAAACTTATGCTACTAAATATTTGTTGAGTAAATTTTTTTTGATGCCGGTAAAAGATGAGGCTGATCCGGATTATGGACGGGAGGAGGAGAAAGAGGAACCAAAAAAAGAAAACTCGCCTGCTTCCTCAGTTCCCAATATGGAGCAATCCTTGACTGAATTAGCCAAACAGACTCAGACCATTAGTGTTAAACAGGTGGATGATTTAGTGAACTTGTTAAGACAAAAGGTTAAGATAAACAAAGAAATTCAAACTCAATTTTTAACTGAGTTAGACCAGCAATTAGCTAAAAGGGGTGTGGAAGGGACTACTAATGCTGGTAATTTTAGAGTAAGATGTAGTTCTTTGAGTCCTGGTGATTATCAGTGGTTGTGGAATTGGTTGTTGAAAGTAGAAGAAAAATAATATGGGATTTAAGAAAGCGATTAGCACTCGCACTAAATACAAAAAATCATTTATATCCATGCCAAGAAAAAAATTATCCCCTATCCATCCGGGCGAAATCTTGCGAGAAAGATTACTAGTTCCGCGGGATATCAGCCCCCAAGAATTAGCCGCTGCCTTAAAAGTTCCCAAAGAGCAAATAAAATGGGTGTGTGAAGAGAGGGCCGACATTACTCCGGACTTAGCCGCCCGCTTAGCTCTTTATTTTGACAGCACAGTTGAATTCTGACTCAACCTCCAAAGAAGTTACGAAGAAGAAATGGCCCGCGAAAAGACCGAATTATTAAAAGAGGAAATTATTCCTTATAGAGCAAGGAGAGGAAGTTCTAAATATGCCATTGCCAACCATTAGAAAGAAATTCAAGAAAAATGTCCGAGAATACATGGAAGGTCAGTGATTCTCCGAATGAGAGGGAGTTAAAAATGTCGCCATAACTCGTCAAAATTTAAAAATAGTAGCAAATGCGAGGGATAAAAGAGATTTTAATATGTTTGCCGCGGAGAAAGGGGCCGTAACTTCTTTGCGACTAGAATTAATTCAAGGCACCAAAAATCATTATAGTATTAGAACTGGTGGACCTTGGAGGATATTTTTCGTGTGAGAGAATAATCAGGCCTGAGAGATTGAACTTAGCAAGCATGATTACAAAAAAGTGAGGAGAGGAAAGTAATTTAGTAACACAATTTTAAATATGACTCGTAATTTTTGGTTTGCCTTAGTATTTTTTATTTTCCTAGGAGCAGTGGCTTTATGGAAGTGGTGGGCTTGATTGTTATGGAAAATTTTACGACTAAGAAAAAAAGAACAAGTCTTCTCTTTGTTGGCTAAACACAGATTCTTGGAAATCACTGGCCCTAGTGGAAAAGGTAAATCTTGACTTTTAAGTCATCTTTTTAAGCACTTACAAGCTGTCAAATTCACCAACTTCCCTACTCCCCAATCTACTTTTACTTTAAGTAAAGAAACTTTGGAAATCCATATCAGCGGCAAATGAGATGCACCCCATAAATTTTACTATTTTTTGGATGACCTGAATACTTTTGAGAAGTGGAGCCAGAGGGAGTTTGGAGAGCATGGTTATCAGGCACTGCAAGATTATCTGAGCCAAGCAGGCAAACTCGGTGGGACTTTTATTTGAACTAGTAATGCTCCCACCTCTAATTCTGTTTTTGCCAGCAATAGAAATAAAAGTTGGAAAGTGCTGACTTACATCACTTTTATGGATAAAAGTTTACTCTTCGTGCAAGCCAACGATAGTTGGTATAATTTACTGCCAACAATTATTCCGGTGGATAATAAAGAAATAGCCAGTTTTTATGACCCGCATTGGAATATACCCAAAGACTACCAACAAAACTGACTCAAATATATCTTTGAGGAAAAACTCAAAGCTGAGGAAGCAGGAGAAATCCTACGAGTAATTGAAGAGAGTGGGATGGGAAGTAACGAGCAAGAATGATTAAAAAATATGAAATTTAATCGTCAGTTACTTTTACAATATCTCCAAGAAAGGAAAAAAGAGGAGAGGGTGGTGAGGAAGAAATCAGCCCGGATTAAGGATATTAAAGGGAGTTTGAAGAAGTATGGGTTGAAAGTGGAACCTATTAAGGAGGAGGATTTGAAGAAGTGGGATAAGATGGAGAAAGGGAAGAAAAAAACCAAAGAGAATAAATTGCCTGTGATAGAAGAAAAAGATTTGGATCAAGAGAATCAGGAACCAAAAGAGGAAGAATTAAAAGTTAAAAGACCTAAAAAAAGAAAAAAATAACTATCTTGCACTATTTGCCCATTCATCTATCCTCCACTGTTCCTCTTTTCACCCTCTACTTTTCATCATAACTCTCTGTTTTCGGGTACATTTTTCACTGCAAAAGAAAGGGGATAAAATGTCAGCAGCAATAGCGAAAGGTTGACCACAACTAGGGGTGAAGCAGTAAAAAGCATCACCTCTTTTTCCAATTTCAGTAATTTC